TGATGGAAATTACTAGCTGTCCAGCTCATTGAAATTCTGCTGCACTGCAGCAATATGAGTTTGCAGTCCACAGCACAGAGCCACTGGCTTGTTCACTATAGAAATTCTGCTATATCAGTAGTCAGTCAACAGCACGAAAGTGATGGAAATTACTAGCTGTCCAGCTAATTGAAATTCTGCCGCACTGCAGCAATATGAGTTTGCAGTCCACAGCACAGAGGCACTGGCTTGTTCACTATAGAAATTCTGCTATATCAGTAGTCAGTCAACAGCATGGAAGTGATGGAATAGAAACTGGGCAGAATTTTCCTGCTCACTTAAATTCTGCAGCACTGCAGCAATATTAGTCTACAGTCCACGGCACAGAGCTGCACTGGCTTGTTCCGTATTTTTCTGATAAAATTTTCTTTGGCATCAAATGTGTGTGCGAATAAATGAGAAAATATCTTGGAATCAATCTCTATGTAATTACATCACCTCTACGGCTGTAAATAGTTTAGAGTTTGCACCTGTCTCTACACCTTTAATATTACAGCAGGGGAGTAATGTTTTTTTTTCTTTTTTCAGCTTTCCTTGGTCTCCAATGAGCCTTACTGTCCAGTACAGTCAGACCGCTTCAGTACACCAGTTACCACTTCTGGCCTCAGTTCTCCTCAGCCCCACCGTTCAAGTAAAGACCTGGCTCCTACCATTTCGACTCTGATGGGGACATTTTAAGGTGTGGTGATGATGGAGGGGTGGGAAAGAAGAAGAAATTAAACTCTTCTCTTTTCTCCTTTCCATTGTCAATCGATACTTACGATTTCCTCAGATGAGAAGACTGGGAACGAGTCAGAAAGAAGATTCTGAAGGAAGACATTGTAAATACGTTGGTTGGTGAATTCCTTGTGGGTTGGGAGGGAGGGTTAGATAGAGCTCTGGATGAACCTTAAAACCAAATTTTCGGCCAGAAGTCATTGTACTTCTGATTCGGTATAATTTAATGTAGTTAGATTAGTTAGCTGGGCCCCTGGCTTTGGTGTGGGTCTTCCCTCTAGGCTGTCCATTTGGGTTTTCTTTCAGGTTTATTCGGCTAATTTTTCAACTGGAGTTCGGCTTTACATCGGCTTTTCTTCGGCACTACTTCGACTTTTTACATCGGCCCTACATCATCTTCACATCAGCTCTACAATGGATCAATAGTTTTCTTTTGACTTGACTTTACATTCGACGCGCCTCCCCGCTTAGTTACATCAATGAAACTAATTCTTTCAGTTTTACTTGATGACAGAGTCCAAGCACTGTGATCTAGTAAGACTCTTTCGGCAAAACTATTTTGGCAAACAAGGTTCAACCAGACATGAACTTATATTGTAGGAAATGGCCATTCAACTGCATGGAGGAAGACTTTGTTTGCTTCTCCTCAGTTTAGTGGTTATTACTGTAATTAAGACATAACTTTTAAATGGGTTAAGGGACAAGACTATTTCAGTTTTTAGGACTTGCAGATCTTATGGGAATTGGGACAGTGCACACTGAACAAACAAGCTTAGCACTTTCTATGAGATCAAAAAAGACAATTACAGCTCAAAAAGCAGTCAAATTATTTGCTTTGTTTCTTCAATTACATTGTTGACTGGATTTTTTTAAAAAATTAACTTTTGGAAAAAAGACAGATCTAGAAGATTGTACTGTACTCAAGTAGAAAATTGACACTAGTGATAGACAACATTGTCTTTTGCCAAAATTTGAGGAATTTGAGAGAGTATTGCATATATAAGATAGCATGATTACTGTAAACCAACAGCTATTTCAATTATCGTTGGCATTCAAGCTTCAAGAAAACTGTAACAAATTTGACCTGAATTTCACTTAAGCATGCCACTCAAGAGTAAAATACCGATATATCACTTGCGATCTCAGTTCTACCTAAAATTTCTACAAGTTCAAAATACTCGTGGAAGCATTCCTTCTAGTCTCATCTTTGAAGCTTTTATAAGCCAACACTTTTTGAAAGGGCTGCTTATCTAGGTCCTGCACAAGCCTGCCTGGAGGATCAACCGTGGATTGCTAGGGGCCTGGATGGGGTAGATACATCTACTGACAGTCACAAAATTGACAGGATGCAACTCATTTTAAACACCAATTGTCTATTGTCAAACAAAAATCTTGACAGTTTTTAACAGCTGCCTGAGTTAGAACTGTTGGCTATATGCCTTAGCATTCGTTTCTTGTGTTCTCAGTCATTAGGTTGCTGTTCTTGCTAAAGGATAATTGTCTGATGTCATGCATACAAAATGTTGACAGTTAAACAGCAGCAACCAATCATAAGGTCATTCTCAGCTACATTTTACAGTGAAATTTCTGTTGATGTGAAGTAAAAAATAACAAATCTAAAAGAAAGAGCATTATATAAAAGAAATTTCCCTGCTTGAGGCCATTATTGTCTGTTTGATAAATTGAGAGCTGTCAGTTAAAACATCTGGCTATTTTTTAAATTACAATTTACATATTTCAGGAGCAATGTTTGTGAGTTGAACTCGCAATACATTTTGGAAGCTGTCCATTCTCAGCTATATTTCATAATGAATAATTGTCTGTTGGTGTGAAATTAGAGCATTGAAAGCAATTTTCCTCCTATCAATCAGTTACAACACATAAAGGCCAATTGTCTGTTTGATAAATTGATAGCTGACAGTAAAAAACATTTGACTATTTTTAAGCTAAAATATTTGTCATATTTTAAGCAGATGTCTGCTGTCACATGATAAATTATTTTTGAAAGCTGTCATTCAGAAGCTATTGAGCTATTTTTGCCTGTTCTCAATTATTTTTAGAACAATTCTCTGTTGATCTCAAAATAAATTTTGACAGCTGTCGGTGAAAAATTCTGGTCGTCTGTCAGCAGTCTATCTACCCTCATCCAAACCCCTTGGCCAAAGGTAGGGCAAGTTCTACAACCTGGCAAGAGGTACGTGGGAACTTTGATTTTACTTTCAGTTCGGCTTTCAGTTCAGCTTTCGATTCGGCTTTCGGTTCAACTTTTGAATCAAGGCTTGGTAGCGATTAAATCTCGTTAGCAGGCCACTGAAGACTACTGAATACCGTCTGGGGCACGCTGGGTGTTCCATTCGGGGTGTCAACTTTTACTGGCACAGGAACACCTGAGTGCTTTCCAGATGCCAAATTTTTTGTGCATAGGAGTGCGCCCCACCCTATATCAATTTAGGTCCTGTGGATTAATGTAGGCCCTGTGGATTAATTTAGATCATAGCTTGATGTAACAATTTGATAATAATAAAACTAAAAAAACTAACGGCTGTCAGTGTTGTATTCTTTGAAACAGACCACATCAGCAACAAATATATTTTAAGTGCACTTTTGTCAAAGCAGGGTTTGGCTTATTTTTGGGGACAATCTTGTACGGTGTGCATTGTTCAAGATTGATATGTCACGCATAATGTTATGCAGGTAAGTAATAACACCTTGAAAACAGGCTAAACAACAAAAGTACTAACTCTTTTACTTTCAGGATCTTTGATTCACAACAATTGGCCCATTTTCGGGGGCATGGCATATTTGTATTGCTGTACCTTTTTGGGGGGGGATCAGCAATTTGCACAGTTGTGCATTGATCAAAAGTTCAAAATGTAATCATAATAATATTACACAGGTAGGTAATTAACAACACCTTGAATCACACCAAACAACAAGGATGTTTCTTTTACTATCAAGCCCATTTTCGGGGGCAAACTTGCGCTTGAGTACACTCTTCAAAAGTTCTAAATGATATAATTTAATATAATGCAGGTAAGTAAGAACACCTTGAATCATGCCATACCGTGTTAATGCTCTCAGTATCTTCGATTCACAACAAGCTCAATTTCGGGGGCATGGCATGCTTTCTTTGTTGACCTGTTGGTGTAGCGGGCAAACTATACATGTAATGCATTGCTGTCCATTGTTCAATAGTTCAATATGTTACAATAAACTATGCAGGTAAGAAATTTCACCTCATGACAAACACCACAAACCAATTACTCAGAGTTTTCTTTCAGGATCTTCAATTTACTGGTATGGGCCCATTTTCGGGGGCAATCATTCTGGCAACACCTCAATCCACTTTTGGTGTATCCAATTTATCATTTAGCACAGAATGATGTAATTCATGTAGCAAAGAATGATGTAATTCACTGTAAATGGCAACAAAACAAACAAAAAGCAATAAAAATATGTCAAATTAAACATTGTAGTCTTTGGTACTTTTTTAAACACTCAAATAATGTAGTGGTATTTAATTTACCATAACAAACACAAAAAACAATGTAATCAATGCTTTTGTAATGCTTTCATGGAGTCTTTTACAAGCAATAAAAATTCAAAAACATGGTAGTTGATGTTATTTTCTTGAACAGTTTTGATTAGCAAATGTACAGGTGCCAAAGCAACATTTGCTAAACAGCATAACAGTAGAAATAACCAAGTTTTATTTCAGGATCTGCCTCAAATATGGAGCAAGCCTATTTTTTATGTTAAGATTGCCATTTCAAGGAGCCATCTTCAAAAACTTCATCTGTTCAGTGGTATTTTGACACCAAGTTCAATACAGATTGCAAAGATGGGCATACTAACAAGTGAACATTTCCACAATTTGATTACTGAAAACAGGGAGGAAGATAAGAGCCTACTTCCAGAAGGATTTGATTACTGTCATTTAAGTCATCTTCAAGTCAGGTAAGCTATACGTTTCACAATCTGAATATGATTTTAAGTAAGCATGCAGCCATATTAACTTTTTATGTCAGTTTTCAGTACAGTAGTATTAAAGGAGAC